AGGGAAGTACGCCGCAGACCAAAGCATAACTCGTCTTCACGTTCAGATAACCAACCGCTTATCTTTAGTTGTAAAAAGTAGCGAAGAATAGTGGAGAATACCTTCTCCGTGGGTATGCCATTGGGACGACCACTGAGTGGGAGACAGTTGTGGCTGCCCGTACTCCTCAGGACTGTCGTCAATGACTTGTATTTGTAGCAAAAAATATTCTGATGGCACCAGGGTGGCTGGTTGAATTTCCACAGAACTTTCAGGTCTTTGAGAATGTTGTGCTCTAACGTTTCCTGGTATTCCATCGGAGATGTTGACGTTCCGAATGATTATTTTTCCGTGGCACTCGGTTATCTTGGCGATCTGGGGTAAAAACCGATTGATTTCGCTTGCCCATTAAAGAAGAGTGTTAATGGTAGCCTGCATACCCAGCTGCATGACTAACAACTCTCTTCTTGGTGTACTGCCGATGAACGGGTTCAATAGTTGATGAATTGATGGGGCATGTTATAACCACTCTTCACTATCTTTGATTGCGGGTGGCTTCAATTTTATCTTGACGCCACCTAGCGGATCCTACTGCACTAAAGTGCAAAGATAGCTCATTTTAGCAAAACTTTGATCTTTTTTATCTCTATTGTTATTAACTTTTTTAAGAAGAAAACTATGCGAAAACCATCTCGGATTTATCAAGAATCAGTATGTAAAATTTCAGCAAAATCGGTTCAGTAGTTTTCGTGGTTAGCGATTACAACGGTTTTAGCGATTTTGCTTTATATATTAGTATTAGTAAGATAAGGTAAGATAAATTCACCGATGGGTAAGTGCCGTTCCACAAATTTGAAACAAGAAAAAAAAATTGAGGGTGATATTTTATGGTTTACTTCTAAGTGGTAGTTGTCATGATTTTTTATTAATTTGCTAATAGGTAGACATATTTGTAAGAAATAAGACTTACATGTGCATGCCCAAAGACAAATTTCATTCAAAACGAGTATCGAATACAGTTTTGACGGTTTTGGATTGTTTCGTAATAGAGGTAGTTGCATACCTGCTTTTTGTCCATTATGTTGATTGAATGATTACTTAAAAGGAAAGTTATTTCTCTTCATTTCAACATAAATTAACTTAATTGATGTTCAACAAATCAATCACACAGCTATAAACAATGTGTGACAAGGCGTAGAACTACTTCCAAATATCTCTACTTAATAAGAATAAGGTTTTTCCATTTTATGTTTAACCACTGCAACAAAACGTAAAAGCTATATCCAAAAAGCAATACGTCTACAAGTCGTGTAATTTTCAGACTTAGTTTGAAGTCAGGCTCTGAATTTTCAAACCTTATTTCTTTGATTTACAAAGTACTTTTGCAACGTGTAGGGCACATCTAGCAGTAAGAAATGTTAAGGAGGTTCGGTAGTGTTAGCGGGGGGAAATCTCAGAGAGGCAAGGGGATGGAGAGCATCTGGCAACGTTGTGAATTTTTTCGGCTGCTGGCACGTCGTCTACTGTTGTTGTCGTCTACTGCTGTTGTCGTCGTCTACTGATGACAGTGTACTTAGTTATTCGGTTGAATTTTTTATAATTAAATTCTCAATTACAAAAGGAGTTTTTACTATTCATTACATTTCAAAGCGCGCGCCAAAAGCAGCGTTGCCAAGTCGTCTGCTGCGAGCACATTTTTTGCTGTTTTTTAATAGAAATTTGTGGTAGGGCTCTCTCAAACTTTAACAAAATATTATTTTGACAATATTCTTTCATTTAAAAAAAAAAAAAAAACAAGTTCATTTAGCCGTTTTTTTTTATGTGAAATTTAAGTGATTTCTCCATAAGCCTACATGATAAAATATTGTTTTTTCAGGTCAATATATCTTGAAAACGGTGTGGTTAAACCCTTCAAAAATTTAGCTGTAATTTGATACTGTTATTCCAAACAACATATCGAAATTTCAAAAATTTTTATCATAAAAAATTATCACTACCGAACCTCCTTAAGCCTTGAAGGGTAGAAGGACCTATTGGGTTCCTATATCTTCAGTGGACCTATCCTCTTCAGTGGGCAAAACTACTTATTTTTCTTGTCCTTCTTTTAGGCACGTATCAGTAAATAAGTTACATTTTTTAATACACTATACATTACTTTACATATATAGTATCTTATAATTTTGACAGCTACTCAATAAATAAATTTTTTTTTTCAAAATAATCATAACCTCTGAGAGTAAAAAACGTAATTTACTTGATAAACAAAAATGTATTACACATTTTTGGAAACCTTAGTTTTTTTTGTAAATTGTTCTTTTATTACTTCTCAAGTATATGTATACGAAATTTAAGATTGAAGTATTTCGTAGACAATATTCAAGAGGCAGAGTGAGTTAGATGATTTAATAACGTCATGTTCAAAAAAATAAAAAACATGTTAGAGAAATAATGATTAATAATTTTTGTGTTGGAAAAAAGACAACCTCTCAACCTGAAATAATGCCAGAAGGCAGGAGCACCAACAAGACATTTATAAGATCATCAACCGTTTTTGGAGATACTGGCTGGTATTGTTGTGCTGATGAAAGCAAACAAATAACAAACATGACTTTCAAGAACTACAGCGATACAACGGCTAGTTGGATGTACATTTAAGTTAAATGTAAGTTTTAAGTAACAAATTAAAAAATTTATAAATTATAAAACAACTACTGTTGAAGGCGTATTTGAAAAATGGTATATATTCATGTGCAGCTAATAAAAACCCATTCATGCATGTAACTAAAAAAAAAGGTTATTTACTAGCTTATGGATGTAGTGGATATATAATTTTTCCATGCCAGACGACTTCGCCTGAATTCAAAGTTATTTAAAAAAAAAAGAAAGAAGTAATGAATCTAAAAATATTTATCTTTTCATTGAATATTGTAAACTTTATTTATTTACATATAACTATCTAAGGTATTTAAGCTCAGTGAAAAAACAACTTTTGATCTTAAAATTGGTTACATCATCAAGTATACAAAAAATTAATATACTGGTATATTTACATGCTCAGTAAACCAAAACAATTCATCACACATGATACAAATGAGCACTTATTTCGTTCCATACTACTTGTGCGTGAGTAAGCCGTCGGTAAAAGTAAATGGTCCAGAAGCCGTCACTACAAGCTCAAGATTAAGTGTAAAATGTACCGTCACAGTCAGGAGAGAAGCTACTTACAACATTTTTTGGAAAATTCCGCAGAATACGGTAAAATTGAATACCTTAATACCGTAACTATCTTACGAGTAACGACGATAGTTTAAATATTTACAATATTTTTCGTAAATTTTCTAAACTATGATATATTAAACACATTTATTAGACTTCGACGATAATTTCAAATACTGTTGAGGAGGTTGTACACAAGAATGACCTATTAAATATAATAAAATCCAAGCTCATCATTAATAATGTGACCTACGGCGATCAAAGGAATTACGAATGCCAAGTATAATCATCATTTAATGAAACAAAAAGTTCTGATGTACATATCTGCGTATATGGTGAGTTACGAAAACTTTTTTCTCGTTTACTCTTTAGTAATAATCAATAGCTTTTTTAAATTTAAACATTTAAACATCTAAGTTGATAAACGTAAGAGTTATTATCTCTATTCGGTCCTATTAAGAATTACATTATTTTTCAGGATGGAAAATTATGGTAACAAGATTTATGACCATACATATAATGGTTACTCAATATCAACAAAGTATAACAAATCAACAAGTAGCTTACGTATAGATAAAATTAAAACCTTCAATGGGGGCATTTATACACTAACAGCTAGAAGTATTGCGGGAAAAAAGAACTTGACGTTTCATCTTGAAATTCTTGGTATGACCAAAATTTTTGGCGCTCTAAGATCATAACTGAATTTCATAACACTTAAGACTTCTGATAACCAAACAGCTTGAGTAATTGTATTGCAAAATTGTAAGTCACGGTAGTCCAAAAAATCTTGGCTCCAGGACGTAAAAGCTGAAAGCAATACGCTGCACGTTCTGAAGCGTTGAATTTTCTCGAAGTTTCTGAGTTGAAATGTATTATACATACTTATAATGCCAAACATTTTGAAATGCACTCTTAAGAAATAAAAATGTACTAACTGTTTCAAGTCGTATAGACTCCGAGCTCATCTCATGGATAGAAAGAGTATCCAAAAATACTTGATTGTTTGAGTACTTTGATACTCTAAGACAAATTATGTATAGCTATGATCTGATTAGCTTTGTATTCTACCTACTTTACAATTTTATGTTTAATCCAGAAAGTGCGGTTGGATGCTTCCAGCTCTGTCCTATACTTTAGAAAAGTCGGCTCTTTAGGTATTTCGAAATTGTTTAGTTTCATTTTATGCAGAATCATACCTTTCTCGTAATATTTTGATGTCATTGTTATTCTCTCTTATAACAATGTTTGAACTTATTCTTTGCTTGTAGATAAGCCATGGGTGCAGCTCAATACAAAAAATCTTAAAAGTTACTACAGCTTTAATGAGACTGTACTATTTGACTGTCATGTAAAAATTAAATCTAAATTTAATACATCATGAAACTATTTAACTTACCGGAAATTAGACTCCACACATATTGATGAAACATCTAAACTACAGGTTTGTTTGGCTTAAAAAGTAAAAGCTCGTTTATTTTCATTAATGATTCAATCGAATTATTAGAAGTATAAAAGTATATGTAAATTACAATGAAGTTTTTAAAGGGTGAAATAGTATATAACAAAACAAATAATGCAGAAAACAATTCAATGGTTACGATAAGCCCTCAAGTAAAGTCAATCATCAAATGCACGGCTTGCAATAGTTTTGGATGCAGCAGCAGAATACATGATATTCATATCACAGGTTCATAGATCTCTACGATTGATTTCTTTTAGATTATAAGATTATAAACTTCTTATCATATATTTTCTACATTTGACTTTGTTTTAAAGACGGGATTCCGAATCGAGCATATGGAATGATAAAACCAGAAAGGAAATTTTGTGGAGGTCAAAATATTTCTTTAGTATGTACCGCTGTCATTCGCAAATTTTACCAGGCACAATGGTACAACGATGATAGTGAAAAAGTCGTAGATTCTGGTCAGTTCTAGATGAATGTTAAAAATTTACTGATTAAAATTTTGAGGGTAGCGTAGTTTGTCTCAACTTAAATAATCTAGATCTTTTAATGTTTTAGAAAGAATACAAGTCACGTTTGAAGAAACTAACTATACTCACCGTGCTATTATGTCAATTAATAATGTGAGTTGTTCAGATGAACGAGATTATTATTGTTTAGCAAAAAACTCATTTTACGAGGAAATTACAGAGAAATATTCTCTTAAGATCAATGGTACAGATAAAAAAAATTTTCTTTAATTAAAATGTTGTAGGTCATTTTTTTACTAAGTTTATTTTATCTTTGATTTTGATGATTTTTTCCTTTTAGTTCCGGCTCACTTTGTTCGTGTGAACATAGATGATATTGCTATAACGCGATTTGCAAAAGACCCTGAAAATCCTGTATATTTATCATGTTATGTTGGAGGCACGCCAACATCTACTACTACGTGGTTTAAAGACGGTGCATCATTGAAGCCATGAAAACAGTTCAGTTTAGAGGAAGGGAATCAAAAATTGATTATAAGATATCTTTTAGAAAGTGACAGTGGTGGCTATTCATGTATTGCCGACAACGGCTATGGGCAAGTAACAAAATCTCAAAAAATCGTTGTAAAAGCTAACAATGTTTAGTGCACATGCTTGTACTATCTTTTTTTAAGGAACATAATAAATGATTACTTATGTCTGACTATAGTAGTGCTGTTCAACTTAAAAAATTCTTTGAGTCAATCTAATTTAAAAAATAAAAAGATGGTATGTAAAAGTTACAATTGACTGAATTTTACAATTTTTCTATGTGCATTAATGTTTACTAGTCATAGCTTTTACTTCATTGATTTTAACGTCAGTCTATCACTACGATTGTCTCAACTTTATCCAATTACTTGGCATTGGCCTATTATCTTCTGGTTACTAGTCACCATTACACAAGGAGTCATGTATGGATAATCTTAGTGTTTAGCTATTCGGAAAAATGAAAATGAGAATTTACTACTATTCAAAGAGTAAACTGCAAACATTACACCATAAGGCATACGTGAAAAATAAGAGTTGAACGTGTAATTTCTTTCTACAGTTAATATTTTGAAAGGCATAAAATCAAAAAACTACCGTTCGAAAACAGAAGTGCTGAAAATTTACTCTTGCTTTAAAGAATAAATTTTTAATAATACTCTTATTAAAGTAGTGTAATTACGATATGACTTATTTCAAAGAAAATTCAGTATATCCTCCTTTAAACAGAGCACTTAGTGAGATAATCCTTTGGATTGAAGATTAACATCGCGGAAACAATAACTGACGATGGTGTGTGTACAAAGTTGAAATTATGAAATCTTTATATTTTAATTATCTAGGCACTCAACTTTTTGGAGCAGACTCAAAGAAATACATAATTATTGACGTCGTACTGTAGAACTTTGCGTTTCAATCAAATAACGAACGAAGGAATTTATTACGGTTCACTTGTGTGCAAGAATATAATAGAAGACTCTTCCGTTTAGAAGAGAACGAAAGAAAAAATAAAAAGAAAATAATAAGCTATTACAAAAAACAGCAAGAAAAAAATCAGATTGTAGTTGCGACAAATGCTAAGAGTTGAAGAAGTCACTGGATTGGATCATCGTATGATGCAGAGAATCAATTCTTTTTTTTTTTAAATAAAGGGAGATATAGCAGTTGAGGGGGTGGCTGGGAAGTTCTGTGCAGAGAAAGAGAGAAGTATTGGTTAGTAGATTCCTCAGAAAGGTTGTGGAATGAGAGAAAAGGAGATAATATAAAAGGAGATTCACACTAAGGGCACAGTCAAGTGAAAATTTGTAATGATTTAGTATATCGAATTATCATCTATTTTATGCTAGCTTGTAGGGCAAATATTGACTAGACTTTTCGAGACAACACTTAAGATAATATCTTACATATTCATGACGAAAAAAAAAAATTACAAAATTAAAAAGAAGTAATGATAATAATTGCATTAGGCTATCATCAAAAAGTTTAGATAATTTTGAGCTTAAAAATGAATTTAACTAAATATTATCTACGTAATGCTGAAAAAAAATTTAATAACTTATCGATAGAAATCGATGAGACGAATTAATTAAATTTATATTAACATATTTTAATATATTAATATAATTGCTGTAAACCAAAGCTCTTAATCGGCAATTTTACAAAATCAACTTAATTAGTTGACCAAGCTCCAAATAAAGTAATGGCTTTTGAAGAATTTCAAACGATAAATTTGGCAAAAGTCTTCTTCACCAAGTGTTCATTACAACTTTCTCGCTGTTAATATATAAAAGGGCTTATGAATAAAACAAAATAATCTAATATTATTTTAATCAAAACTAGAAATGTTACATAAACGGTAGACGACCTAATATTTGTTACAAGTACTTTGATATCGGTTATAAATGAACGGATCTTATGAGTGAAGGGTAAAGTCATCTTCAAATGTATTAGATTGATATAATAATATTAAAATAATATTTAAGAAGTTTCAAAAATATGAACAAATTTTAGAACCTTAACTAGTCTCATTACTAGGATACAAAATATGAAATAAATTACAATGAAAGATAATTGTAAATAAACGTTTATTACATTTAAGGATAAAAATAGTAGTTTTTATGGCTGTTATATCGCTTTTTATAACAGTTAATTAATATTGGTGATTTTTATATACAGTGGGGTATGAACGTTACTTAGTTTGATCAGAATCGAGGGTGGTTATTCAGTTTGTAGAAAACCAGAAAAAGCTTTTTCCACACGTTTCATACAAAAATTGCATAAGCAAAAATCAAATCCTTATCCTTCGAGTCCATCAAACTAAAAAAAAAAAAAATCAAATTTCTTACATGTATAAAAGAGACAAATCTGAGCACCCTAAACTTATTAAACTTAATGCGGCTTGTAAAATAAGATTTTTCTATAGTATTTATATATTCACTGAGTGATAGATTATACTAAAAATTCGAAATGATCACATCTTTAAGTATAAACAACATTAAAAAATGTGATAAGTCACTTCTGTACAATACTTATGCTTAAAAATGATAAGATTGATTGTCGAAACATGCACAATGAAATGCAGTAAATAGGAACGATAGGGCATCAAAGAGCATTAGATCTAAGGAAAAAAATAGATAAGAGCACTATATGAAAAAAAAAAAAAAAAAAAAAAATAATAATAATAATAATCCGTTGAAAGCAAGTAAAACACGAAGTATGTCAAGGTTGTACAACGTATGTATAACGTATAAATTATGTATTGAAATTCAGTAAACAGTACCAATAATGTAAGATGGCGTTTTTTCGTGCGTACAAGCGTAGATCGAAATCCAAGTACTAGTAATGAGCGTATATACATGCGTATGAACGTGCACGTAAAAAAGGTGGTAAGCAAAGTATAGTGGACAAACTCATGTATACGCACAAAGTAACGTATAATAAAGGAAGAAAGGAAAACGCGCTTCTGTGCACGTGTAGTGTGAATAACAAAGTAAGAAAGGTGCAAAGAAAGAAAGAAAGGAAGGAAGGAAGGAAGGAGGGAAGAAAATGATTCCGTTTATCTCTGGCTGCTTGGTAGTACCCGTTCATACAGTGCATATGCGTGTGTATGTACATAGGTAGGTGGGTGTAAATGCATGGATATGAGCAGGGTATAAATCCGTACGGAAACGTTTATTATAGGTAAGCGCGTGTATGTGACTCAATGAATACGATTTCCCGTTTTAGGATGTACACGTCAGGAGTTTCCGATTGGGTTACTGCACGTATAAGTACCCATACACAGGCTCTTTGGTACAAAGGTAAGAAAGTACCTATAGCAATACATAAGGAGGCAAGCGAGCGATCGACCTCGCGCTGTCTGCGCTTCTTCTAACGCCTATTATGCGTGCATCCTCGCTACAGAGTACTGGCTCAGTACAATGTAGAGGTATACGATGCAATTCTTGTTCTCCGTTCCTTTCTCTTTTGTGTCATATAAGTTCTCAGAGACGTATACGAGGAGCACCAAAAACATCTGTTGGGTTTATCATTGCATAAACGCGTTTTTCCGAGCTCACTTTCGTTGTGATTTTTCTTGGGTTTTTATTGGAGGATAGATCGTGATTATTCTAATACTGCGTCACAGGTGTTCCATTAAAAATGTGCAGAGAGACAATGGTTGACAAAAAGCGTGTTCATCGACTCGATGTTTCGAAGCTTTTTTTTGACATTACTTCTCGTACCATTAGTTAAAATACCAATTGAATGACTACACAATCGCTTGTTTCTTAAAAATTCCTTTGTACACTTGAAAAATGATGTACAGAAGTGTATTGACTTACTTATTCAATTTATAGTACCTGTCCACAAAAAACGTTACGTAATCACCGGCTTCTGGTATAAGATCCCCTTAACGTATCATTAACATGTTTTTAAGGATAATGCACGAAAGGGACGCAGCAAACGTCTTAAGTTCCATCAGCAACTAACCGAAGCAAGATGTGATATCATCAGAAAAACCTGAAACAAAAACAGTGAATGTTGAAACTTCAGGCCACGTGCCGAAGCTCTTGAGTCCTCGTCACCGTGAAAAAGTGCACGTTGATTCCACGACTCCTCGAAAAGAAGCGTGAAAGGGAGCCAGTGCCCGCTACCTCGAGTGAAAGTTTAGAGAGGGTGTGCTCGTGTATAGGGCGCGGATGTGTAAAAATACACCCTAAGATCGGCCGAGGGGATCGAGCAAAGAGTAACGCAAAGAATATATATATATATACACGTGAGCGGGGCTGTTTAAAAAATGTAAGGGCATCCATTTCTGCGTGTAGAAGTGTGCAGTGCTCGGGGAACAGTGAAGAGGTGGAGAAAAAAGAGAGAAGGAAGTGGTGCAAGCGAATCGAGAATTTCTCAGGGGACTCGTGGAGGAGAGGAAGGGGGGCGATCGTTATTTTCTCCTCCGTTTTCGCCTCATTCATAGGGAAGCAGCTGGGCTCTGAGCAATTTTTTTTTTTTTTCATCGCAACTACCGCCCCTTCTCCTCATCGTCTTGTTCGTTCCCTCTTTTAATTCTCTCATTTTCTATTTTTAAACCCCAAGCAAGCTGGAACGTGCAGATTGCACTTGCCACCCGCAGACACCGAATGTCATTAAAGTTGTTGGCCACGACGATCCTTAATTTTTCGTGCCGAGCGTCCTCGTTCGGGCAAAGTGATGGTGGTATAGTGGGCGACGGTAGAAATGCCTAGTTATCGTTTTTCAAGATTCCAAATGTAGCAGTTTCGTTGCTGCGTCGTTTAATATTTTACCTTTTTTGTTTGTCTTCTTTCGAGAAATGTTCATCAGATTTATAACAGCAAATGCTTGAGTTATGAAAGTACAAGTTATGCCAACAGTGGTGGGTGAGTCATCCTTCGTTTCAGGTTTTCTGACGACGTTGGACGAGAAGGAGAAAGAAGTGGAAGTTTCTCTCGA